ACATCTGCCCTCACTGTCCTTTCTCCCTGCGAAGTGTATCTCCCTTCCGTCTGGTGATTTACTTCCCCATCTCTGGTCTTTGTTCAGGTGCCCCCTCTCACTGTGGCCTTCCTGGACCATCTACTTAATATTGACCTTCTCTCCTCTGCAAACTCCTAGTTCTTAGGACCAGCAGATGGTGTGATGGTTACGTTGTTGGATGCCCATGTGGTTGACAGTGATTCGAGTCCTGGATCTGGTGGCCTAAAACTCATGCCATGTGCATGTGCGTGCGTGCTCAAGATCCTGAGAGGAGAATGGAGGAGGGATTGCAGGTGGCCATCCCTTCTGGGAGGTGATTTCTCACTTTCTGTCTGTCTCTCTCTCTCGCCAGTACACACACATGCCCTATAGCAAAAATCTTTCTAAAAAATAAAAGAAACTCCTAGTTCTGTTTATGATTTATTTTTTGCTTTAGGATTTATTACCTATCATCTTATCTTTTTCTTATTGTATATTGTATCTCTCTCTTTCAACTTCCATTAGAGTGAGCATCTTCCGTTCTGTTTCCACATTTCTAAAGGTGACTTGCTTTCAGTTTGGTTACCACTGTCTATAACTCACATTTTCAGATTAGGAATTTGTTGTGTATCTGTGTGTCACTTACCCACCTTCAGATCATCAGGCTCACCCAGAGAGCTGTTATTATTTTGTCTTTGGCCTTGCAGGCACACTAGATTCGGGCCTCGGTGCAGGACACGGAGGGTGGCTGACCAGTAACCATTAGCGAGATGACCGAGAGAGTCGGAGAGAGCCAGGGGATGGGTGTGCACCAGGAAGGGCTTCCAGGGTCCTGCAAAGCTCTCTCCCTGCCCTGGTGCTCAGTGCTCCTTTCTCAGTCTGCCTCTTTGGGGGTTCCAGGCAGACTGCCGTCATACATGTCCCGCATCCTCTGCAAATCATCCAGGTCAAATGGTTTTCCCCAAAATCATTCACATCTGACTTTGTCCTATACAGGCTACTCCTCTAATTGCCTTTTTTTTTTCTTTTTTTTTTTTTCCTACTCAGGGTATAATCCATTAGGCTTAATAGGCTTGGAGTCTCTATTTGCTTCTTATGTTTACTTCTCTATCCATATAGATAATGCATTTGTAGAGCCAGAGAAGCGTCTTTTACTCTCTCCCTCTCTCTCCCCCTGTGATGCCTATCATAGTACTTTGTTGTATGGATAGTTTAATATTTTTAAAACAAATTAAAATGGTGGTACACATGTAGGGAGGTTAATACTATTAAATTTTTAAGCACATACTGAATGCAAAATACATGTGTATGTTTGGTGGGGACAGTTCGTACAGATCAGAAGTATCAGAATGGGAAAGCCCTGTGGTGTCTGCCAGCACAGACCCTGGGTATGAAAACATCCTTGTTGCCTGGGCATTGACCACGTAGACGTCATCTTATCCATATCCCACTGCTTCCCCTATCTCTAGACTACAAGAACACAAGAACTTGAGAGAATTAGGCATTCAGAATTTTTCATAAAATATTGCTCTATAGGGAAAAACACACACACAAGAAAGCTGGTCTCAGAATTGTCAGATACTTTTGAGTTTGCATTAGGTCCACTGCTTTAGGGTGTGTGCCAGGTAGAACTAAAGTCCACTGCCCTGTGAATTGTTCCTTCTTGGTCCAACCAGAGTGGCAAAGGATGAACCACTCATGCTGATTGAGTGGGTCCAAGCTGTCTGACGAATGCTTTTGCCTTGAGTTTGCCAAAATGATCCCAAGCTCATAAGATCGTGTTATTCTAAAACTGCCATGAAGTTTTTTATTTCTTCTAGTACCTTGAAAAAATCTGGGTAAATAGTATTTCTTTGGTCCTCTTATTGGTATATACTCACAGCCACTCTCTTCCAGCTTTTGATTAGAATGAGTAACAATGTTTAGGATTTAAGTGTTGTTTTCTACTTTCAACACATGACTCCACTGTGAGTCATTGAACTCCTTTCCATGGCAACCAGTAAAACCAACAGTGGGCTGTATGCTCGGCCAGTGGAGGACATACTATGTGCCCAAGTAATTTCATCTAAATGACTTCAAAAAGATGGAAAGATTGGAGTTTTAATATTCCTACACAGCATCACCTATAGCCCAAACCTCTCTAAACAATTATTTTCTAGCTAATTTAATAGTCATTATTAATTAATAGCCTTGCCTACCTGTCCTGGGAGGTGAGTCATAAACATTGGAAGAGAAATCGGACTGAATGGAAGGTCAGGTATATGTTCATGAGGTTTCTCATTTCAGCTTTTAACACTAGCAAGCAATGACCCAGGGCAAATTGTTTAACCTTAGGGTCTTATTTTGCTCATATGCAGAATAATAAAGTTGAATCTCACGTACCATTCCTAGCTCTTTCCC